CCCCCCCCCCCCACACACACACACACACACACACACACACACACACACACAAGCAGAGGGGGGGGAGGGGGGGAGAGGGAGAGAGGGAGAGAACAAAGGTAGAAAAACCAAGCACAGGGGTCAGGGATTTAGCTCAGTGGTTCCACAGCCTGCCTTGCAAGCAAAAGGTCCCAAGTTTGATCCCCAGTGCCAAAAAGAAAAAGAAAAACCAATTACAGATGAAGAATATTTGTACCATTGTTTAGCTATCTCTGGCCACTTCCACTAACAGCCCAGCCATTTCCTTTCCTTTCCCTGAACTGTAGACAGAAACTACCTTCATGTGCTAGGTTTACAAATGCCTATTATGTGCATTTGTATTGTAACACCCAAGAAGGGAGATTAAATTCCTGTGTTCAACAAACTTCCAGTCTCCTTAGAAAAGCAAAGCACAGATACACAGTGCTCACTTCGACAGCACATATGCAAAACAAAGACATACAAAAATTCTGACTGGGCTGGGGGTGTAGCTCAGTGGTACAGCTTGCCTAATGTACTTGTGGTCCTAGGTTCCATCCCTAGCACTACCAAAAGAATTTGAAAAAATTTTTTTTATTACATAAGGTAGTGTGTGCAAAGAGGCACGTGAATATGTGATACATGGGAGCCCTTCCTGGCTGAAACCAAGGTCAATGATTCATTCTGTGCAAAGATGAATCTCAGAAGATCAGCTTCTTTCTTATTATGAGCACTATTCAAACTTAGGTCCAATATGCAAGGACCAACCCACTGGCCAGTGCTGCCTCAACAACAGGCCAAAAACAAAATGGCAGGCAGCGAAGACTATTTCCACACACCCGACTGGGCATAAGGATGAAGGTAAGCAAAGACTAGATTCTGGCCTGTTGCGCTGACCCATGCACTCAGACTCTGTAGCAGATCTTCTCCCAATAAAACTTTCATGCCACAGAGCAGGAGTGACCCAATCCAACAGCATCAGAGACAGGTTTTACATTACACTTCTCCCTCACGCTGATGACCTCACTTTTTCTTCTCACTCCTGACCACATAGCACACACTTTCACCTCCACTACCACATTCCTCTTGCTACGGCCTAAGCAGCGGACCGTAACACAACCCAAAAAGAAAGGAACTCTCTCCCAAAACGAGTTACTCCTTGGCTAACCAAGTGCTCCGTTTTTAACAGGAAACTTTACCTCCCCACCTCCCCCTCCTTTCCTCAAAGGATTGGCGTAAGCAATGGCTCCATTTTCTGTTCCGGGAATCCTGGTACTTCCTAAAGAAAGAAAGCGGATTGGAAGACACAAACTCAGGGCCAGTGACAAGATGCTCTCTCCTCCCTAGAGACCGCCCCCACTACGCCTGGGGAGGAATGCCCCACCTCTCTTCTCCCAGCAAGCTCAGATCCCCCTCCCCCTCCTCCTGACTCTTCTCCACCCTCTCCCACCCACTGCCCTCTTCCCAACCAGCCTTTCCCCAAGCCCCGACAGCACAACCTTCACCAGCACAGTGGCCCTGGGGTGCCCACCAGCCTGCCCAGTTGCTAACCTCCAGAGCCCCTATGCACCCCTAACCCACTGCGGGGGAAGGGAGTGTAATCACGGCAAGGCTGTTCAGTCTTCTATAACTGAGGTGGGGGGAGGAGAGGTAGAGAGCGGCTTTCCCTGGCCTAGTCCTTTAAAAGAAAAAAGATACAAACAGCCACACCGCCCCCGCAGCACCTCTCTCTCTCTGGTTGGCTTTTCTCCCCTTCTGCCCTGGTCTCTGCAAAGCCCACCACCTCCGGCTGGCGAGGAGCCCAGGTCGCCCCCTTGTGCGAGGCGGAGGACAAACCCGTGAGCGCCCCCGCCCCACCCCCACCCAGCCTTGCGTCCTTCAAACGCGGGGGCAGGCTCGGGGCTGGCTCGACGCCCCCTCTCTGAACTGACGCTGGGAAGGACCACACTGCTCAGTGCCGGGCGGTGGCCGGCGGGGGCCTCTAGCTCCTCAGATCCCGCTCAGACCAAGCCTCTTCTCTCTACAGGGTCCCGCCTTCCCTTCCCTCCCCAACCCCTCACCTGTTCCTGCTCCCAGCTCCGCCGCTGCTACCACCGCCTCCGCCCCCGCAAGTTCCACTTGCCTCTCACTCGGCTCTCCGGCTCTCCAAGCCTAGTTCACCGAGGCTGCTCCCCTGGCCCGCACCCCGACTCCCTCCTTCCTTCTTTCCACCTAGCACCGGAAGCAGCGACCGAGACAGGAGCTGTGCGGCGCACCCCCACCCCCAGCCAGGGATACTTCCCACCCTCACGATCGCGCGAGAGTTGCGCTGTAGCAAGCAGCAGTTCTCGCGAGACCTATCACCATAGCAGCGGCTGCAGCAGAAGCAGCAGACCGCTGTAGCCCAAGTCTGGTGGGGGCCCGCGAGGTGTGGGGGCTGAGGGCTTGCGGAGAAGTAGATACCCGGAGCCTAGGAATGGGGATGGGGATGAAACAGTAGAGACAGGTGAGACTCCCAAGCCCTAGGGTCATACCTAGAATTTAAGGACTGAAGTCAGTAGGATTGGGCCAGGGGGTCCAGGGACACCTTGAAAGAGCAGTGTTTGCTTGTGGCCAGGCTTATCCTGCCGGACTTATTTTTTATATCTTAATCACCCACAGAGCTACACTACATCATTGTCGCTACTCGCTATTACTGAAACTAAGAGACAACAAGGTCTGAATCAAGGGATCCTTTCTCGTAAGGGAGAGGAAGGGGAGTGATGAATTTAAAAGGCTAAAGGAAACAGGCGAATTTGAAAGACAATGAATTGAAGAGGGTTGAAGGCTAAAGTTTTAGAGGCATGGTCTAAGGAAATGTAACTAGATGAGTAGGAATTTTAGTACCCTAAGGAAAAGTGAAGGGCTTTGCACCAGTGTGTCTCACTACCTACCAATCTGTGCTTCCACCGTACTCGTTTTTTCACCTGATGGACATATGCAAAGCTGCCTTGGAACAGTCACAGCTGGGATAAAAGCTGCACTAGAAGAACACTAGAAATACTAAGAACAGAAGGTTCTTTAAGTGCCCTCCTTCCTCTTTCAGCAGTACAAGAGAACACGTGCCTCTTCCCTAAAGTTTGAGCTAAAATTGCCACTCTTCTGAATTTTCTGCCTTGTTTCTTGTTTCCTTCCAAGGAGTACTGGGTTGGTAGATACCACACAATTATTTGTACTCCTTGTCTACATCAAGCCCTGGTTTGTATACTTATTTTAGGATACCTAAGGATACCAGACCCTTCCTCTTAGCCCAGTCTATTCTGTCATGTTTATTTGAAGAATAACATGTCTTACAATATAAAGTCAAGAAGACCCTAATTGAAGGTGGTAAGGAATGGGGCCAAGGATTTAGCTCAGTGGTTCCACCGCCTGCCTTGCAAGCACAATGACAAGTTCGATCCCCGGTACCAAAAAAAAAAAAAGGTAAGGGGTGAGATGGATTTTTTTTTTAAAAAGGCAACAAGGAAAGGAACCTATGTATGACAAAAAGAATTCATCCTTTCCTAGCTTATTATTATTAAGGGCTTTTGCCTTGCTAAGCTCTGTTTTTAAAGGCAAAAGACTCTTCCAAAGGTAGTAACCCACTGCTAGAGTGGGTCCTGTGATACCTTCAAGTGATTACCCTCTTCACTCCTTTCCTTAGAAGCTTCTAGCAACACTCCACCAGTTTATATCCCTACAAGACCACCAAAACCGTGTTTTACAGCTCCTTCCCTAGTGCCTCAGCCACACCAACTTGCCTTGTGAGAGTCCAGTAAAGAGATGGAAACTAGGGCCAGAGATTTAGCTCAGCAGTTTGGTGGCCTGCCTTGTAAGCGCAAGGACCCGAGTTCAATCCCTGGTACCAAAAAAA